CCTTTTGTACCATCCATGACATTTCACCCATACACGGAATGCAGGGAAAAGCCACCTCATGGATACTGGCAAAGCTGAGCTGATGGGGAGAAAAGCACCCGAGACAGCCCAAATGCTCTCAGCAGGATAATTAATTCCTTTTTTGGGGCACTTTCAGTGTTGGGATGACCAGATCCCTCTAGAGAGTGGAGAGGAGGGTCCAGAGTTCCTACCTGAGCACCATCCCCAGTGCTCAGCACGGGACTGTCTCATAAATACTGCACACCTGAAAGAGAGTGGATGGTGACAGTGGCCTTGCCAATGGCCGTGGGACATCCAAGGGACCCCATACCCTGGATAATTTCTGGCACTGATGCCAACCCAGGGCTTTGGGAGCCCAGGGAGAGGCAAGTCCCAGTGCCACAGGCTGAGCTGGGACCAGCTTTTCTCTGTCCTCTCAGGATTCGGCCGTGCTCAGACCCTGAAGGGACAAAGCTGCTCTAGGGACAGGATGGCAAAGCAACAGCAAACCCTTAACTCATTGAAGAGCCCTCCTGCCTCACCCCACATGTCCCCACGCAGCAGGGGGATGCAGCTGCCCCTCCCCAAAGCCGCTGCTGTTTGCAGCAGCACTTACTGTCACATCGCATTAGCCGGGGCCTCGAGACACGGCCAGCTCGGCCGGGGGCACTGGCTGTCAGAAATGCCCCAAAGCCAGCGGGATCCCAGGCTCTGCAGCACCACCACGGCTCAGTGCACGCCTTCACCAGTCCCAAAGCCGCCTTGAGCTTTTTGGGGATTCTTTTGGGTTTAAAAGGTGGTGGAAGGATGCTCTTCATCATTAAAAGACATGGAGCTCTCCCTGCTGCTCTCAATAACGCACTGATGTTTTACTGAGCAAACCAAGAGCAAAACCAACTGATGCATAATCTGTGTCAGCCCAGGGAAATGGGGATTTTTTTGGCAAGAAATCAGGGGATGGAGCACAGGGAATGATCGCTTATATCAGTGATTTAGGCCTGGGTACTTCTCTTGCTTGTTTTTACTCCTGGGAATGCTGGGATCTGTTCCTGGTGAGGGCCCAGGCACCCGGCAGGATCCAACCTCTATAGCAGAGAGAGCTCTGCTTATCCTGGTGAACCTGAGCCAATTCACCCCGGGGTGCATGGCAATCCCTCCCCACCAAACCCCTCCTGATCTCCCTCATTTGACTTCTCAGGGAGGGCCAGGTGGCGGAAGGACGCTCCCGGGAGCGATGGGCTCTTACCGGCAGCAGCCAGCTCTCGTCCAAGAAGCTGCAATTCTGCAAACAAAGGAGTGCCAGCACCATTGGTCCCTGCAAGGAAGGGGCCAGGGCCCCACATTGGCAGCCCTGTGCTGGTCACCACCCCACTGATTCACCACTGCACCTGCAGGTCCAGGGAGAAATCTATCTCTGTCAGCACCAGCAGCAGCGAGAGAAAAGGCTCTGCAGAGGGATGGGGATGGAGAGGCAGTGTCACCACCTGGCAGCCACAGCTTCACAGGGACATGGCAGAGGACAGGATTACATTTGCAGTGTAACTCATGAGTCCTGGGAGCAAGGCTTTGAGAACATCCCCGAAACCACACACCCAGGCTGCTGCTGTAGGCTCATCCCAGGCTCCTGCTGCCAGCACAGGGGCAGCTTGGTACCTTTTTGGTACCTTTAGGCTTGTAGCAAATGCTACTGACTATTTCTCCCCTTAGAAGTACAGCAAAGCTGCCCAGGCTCTCCTACACAAGCCTTGCAATCACACTGCTGGGTCTGAAATCTGCTCATGCACCAGCAGTGCGGGTGATTTATAAACCATTGATGTACAGGTTTAATATGGGGTTATTTATCATAATCAAAAGATTAAAGGTTTCCACCCTGGCCTAGCCCAGCAAGGAGCACAGCTGTGGATGGATGGAGTGCTGCAGCCTGTCAAGGCAATGCAGCCATTTAAGCCCCTGTGCCACCCCTCAGCCCAGGCCCATCTGACATTCCCTCCCCTTAAAGCCAGACTGGGTCTGCTTAAGGCAGAATCCTTTGTACAAAGGAATAACATGGAAGATACTTCAGAAGCAATTTCCCTATCCCATGCCACTAAAGCCAATCTTAGATGGATTCAAATCCTGTTTAAATATTTACACCTTTTTTTTTTTCCCACCCTACCCAATCACTGCAGCAACATATTTAGATTCCAGCGCTAAGTTTGGATTAGAAAAAGCACAGTGGCCTCTTCCCCCTCCCCTGCAGCAGTGCAGTGCTGCATCCTGCCTCGGGTGAGCCATCATCTTACCCCGGAGATCTTGGCTGCCGAGGATGGAGCTCCCTGGATCATAAAACTGAAACCCAGTGAAATAACACAGATTACTCCTCTGGTTCGCAGCCCATCGGCCGTGGGTTGCAGCTGCCCCCCACATGCCGCACCTCCAGGATTCGGGGGGTCTGTGCCAGCTCACGGCCACCGCCAGCACCTTCCCTTGCAGGGCCAGGCGCAGAAAGAGCCGCCCCCGGCCCTGCGGCGTCCGCGTCCGCTCACAGCCCCCGGCTCTCCGGATGCTGCTGGACAGAGAGCTCGGCCTGTTTGGGGAGAGGAGAAGCAGCTTTGGCAGCACACGGGAGCGGCCTCCCTGCGCCTGGGGTCTCTGGGATGAGCATGTCGCGACAGACGCCAGCACAGCTCAGATTTTCACCCCGGTCTAGCTCGGGGTCGCTTACAGGCCGCTGGTTCCCGTGGGAAGTCGCTCCAGCCAGTGCCAGTAATCCCGTCTCCGGAAGCCCCAAACCGGTTCTGCGGGAGAAAGGGAGCTGGACACCCCTCGCCGCGGGCCCGGGGACGCTGCCACCGCCCGCCCGGGCACCAAGGATCACTCACGTCGGAACCCCTTGCGCAGGATGCTCTCCAGCAGCTGGCAGAGCGACACGAGGTGCGGAGAGGTGTCCGTGCAAGGGCCCCCGTCCTCCCGCAGCCGCAGCACCCCTCCTGCGGGGAGGAGAGAGCGGCGGCACCCGTGAGTGCCCAGCCGGGGAAAGGGGACAGGCCACCCCAGGGACAGCTCTGCACGGCCCCGAGGAGGGGTCCCACCCTCCCCGGCTGCCGCCGCCGCCCTGGGCAGGAGCTCGGGTGAACTTCCCCGAGGCCAAGGTCGGGCGGCGGGGCCGCAGCTCCGGTCACACCGGTACTGCTGCTGCAAGAAGCTCGGCCCACGCTCACCTTGAAGGGCGCTGAGCAGCGGCTCTTTCCTGGCCATGGGCTCGCCGCCCCCCAGGGCCAGGTGGTCCCGCGACGGCGGCTGGACGGGAACCGGGAACCGGGAACCGGGAAAGGGGCAAGAGTCCCGCCCCAAGAGCGGAGCGGAGCGGAGCAGCCCGGCCCCACGGGCGGTGGAAACCTCACAGACACACACAGGTGTACGTGTACTTAAGCTGAAAGCACATACACTGATGTACATTGGTGTAACACAGCGACACGTACACCTATCGATCTGTACAGATATATAAATGCCATACATTGTATCGGCAGACCCCGCGTTTATGAGACACACGTGCGAAACATACACGTATTTATCTGAGTGTGTAAGGACAGGTTTTGGGATATAGATATATGTGTTATAAGGCTTCGGTGCCGGCCCCGCCGCAGGTACACACGGGCTGTCCGGGGGGATGGCCACGCACGAACAGCGATTCCGAGGACGGTGAGAAGGAGCGCTGAGGGACCCGGGAGCGGTACGGAACCCACCGGGGGCGGTGCGGGGAGATCGGGGGCGGTGCAGGGTGCTCGGGGGAGGTGCGGGGCTCCCGGAGAGGTTCGGGGCGCTCGGGGGCGGTGCAGAACCCACCGGGGGCGGTAGAGAACCCATCGGGGGCGGTACAGAACCCACCGGGGGCGGTGCAGAACCCACCGGGGGCGGTAGAGAACCCATCGGGGGCGGTACAGAACCCACCGGGGGCGGTGCAGAACCCACCGGGGGCGGTAGAGAACCCATCGGGGGCGGTACAGAACCCACCGGGGGCGGTGCAGAACCCACCGGGGGCGGTAGAGAACCCATCGGGGGCGGTACAGAACCCACCGGGGGCGGTGCAGAACCCACCGGGGGCGGTAGAGAACCCATCGGGGGCGGTACAGAACCCACCGGGGGCGGTGCAGAACCCACCGGGGGCGGTAGAGAACCCATCGGGGGCGGTACAGAACCCACCGGGGGCGGTGCAGAACCCACCGGGGGCGGTAGAGAACCCATCGGGGGCGGTACAGAACCCACCGGGGGCGGTGCAGAACCCACCGGGGGCGGTAGAGAACCCATCGGGGGCGGTACAGAACCCACCGGGGGCGGTGCAGAACCCACCGGGGGCGGTAGAGAACCCATCGGGGGCGGTACAGAACCCACCGGGGGCGGTGCAGAACCCACCGGGGGCGGTAGAGAACCCATCGGGGGCGGTACAGAACCCACCGGGGGCGGTGCAGAACCCACCGGGGGCGGTAGAGAACCCATCGGGGGCGGTACAGAACCCACCGGGGGCGGTGCAGAACCCACCGGGGGCGGTAGAGAACCCATCGGGGGCGGTACAGAACCCACCGGGGGCGGTGCAGAACCCACCGGGGGCGGTAGAGAACCCATCGGGGGCGGTACAGAACCCACCGGGGGCGGTGCAGAACCCACCGGGGGCGGTAGAGAACCCATCGGGGGCGGTACAGAACCCACCGGGGGCGGTGCAGAACCCACCGGGGGCGGTAGAGAACCCATCGGGGGCGGTACAGAACCCACCGGGGGCGGTGCAGAACCCACCGGGGGCGGTAGAGAACCCATCGGGGGCGGTACAGAACCCACCGGGGGCGGTGCAGAACCCACCGGGGGCGGTAGAGAACCCATCGGGGGCGGTACAGAACCCACCGGGGGCGGTGCAGAACCCACCGGGGGCGGTAAAGAACCCATCGGGGGCGGTACAGAACCCACCGGGGGCGGTGCAGAACCCATCGGGGGCGGTACAGAACCCATCGGGGGCGGTGCAGCTCGGCCATGGCGGAGCCAGTGGGTCCCGGTTCGTCCCCGCTGCTGGCGGCCGCTTGCCGGGCTCACGAAGCGGCTTTCGGGGGTGCGGCGGTGCTGGCAGCGTGGGCCCCCGGCCGGGTCAACCTCATCGGAGAGCACACCGACTACAACGGCGGCTTCGTGCTGCCCATGGTAAGGGCCGTGCTCCGCCGCCCCGGCCCCGGACTCTCGCCGTGTCACCCTTCCGGGCCCTCCTGGCGGCCGCCGGGGGTCCTCGGCCACCGCCTTCCCATCCCCGTCCCAGGATGTCCCCTCCAGGATACCCCACCCCGGACCCTTAGGGATCCTCCGGGATCCCCTGCCCAGGACCATGGGCTTCGGAGCCAGACCTGCTGCAGCCCCCCGTGCAGCCCGGCTCCTCACTCGCTTCTCGGGGGATGTGATTCTCTTCCCAACCACCTCTCCGAGAGACTGAAACCTTTTTTCTGCAACCCCGTCAAACAACTTCCCGTTCCCACAGAGCGGTGTTTCAGAACAGCGGGAGCTTCCTGCTCCTTCCGAGCCCCTTTGGCTCAGCGGGGAAGTCCCTGCTCAGTCCTAAATCAAACCTTCAGCTAATTACTGTGAGGCCGAGGAGCGTGGGAGCAGGTCAGCTGAATTCCCTGGCAGGCAGGAAAACTTCCCGAAGCCTCTCCCATTCGTGACGTGGGTACCACTCCCCCGGAGCCCAAGCAGCACCCGGAACCGAGCCGGAGGGTCAGGCGCAATATTCAGTGGGAAGACTGACCCTGTGTATCAATAAATGGGCGGAAGTTTAATTCTGTGCCAAGCTGGAGTGTGCAGTGGGCTCAGGGGTGTTAAAGAGAGCGCTTGGATGCTCCAGCTGTGGGCTGAAGCAGCCACAGCTGTCCCCTGCCACCCGTGGGGATGCTCCAAAGGGGCTGCGGGGTCTGAGCCCACCTTCCCCACCCCCAGGCCCTGCAGCTGGGGACGGTGCTGGTGGGATCCCCCACGCAGGACGGGACCATCTCCATCATCACCACCTCGGCAGAGGCGGACGAGCCCCACAGGGTGCAGTTCCCGGCTCCCGGTCCCGGCAGCTCCCTGAGCCCGGGGCTGCCTCGCTGGGCCAACTACGTCAAGGGGGTCATCCAGCACTACCGGGGTAAGGCTGAGGGGTGGGTCAGAGCCCCCCTTGCACGGGACTGGTGTTCAGACTTTGGGAGTGCTCTAGGGGCTCTTCCAGTGTCTGTGTAATCCTGCAGCTCTGCCAGGACCAGGCTCCAGCAAACTCAATCTCAGCTCCAAAGGTCCTTGTGCTTGGGGGGCTGTCGGGTCAGACTCTGCTGTGGATCACCCTGTGCTCTGAAATGTTGCACAGGGGCTCCTTGTGTCATTCCCCATGAGCTGTGGGGCGCACACAGCCCTGCAGGGGCTCATGGCCCCCCTTCTCCTCCTGCAGGTGGTCCCGTGCCAGGCTTCAGCGCTGTCATGGCCAGTGATATCCCCCTGGGTGGGGGCCTCTCCAGCTCGGCTGCTCTGGAGGTGGCTACGTACACCTTCCTCCAGCAGCTCTGCCCTGGTAAGGCAGCAGCCCATCCTGGGCCCTGGCATCTGTTTCCAGGTGGGAGCTGGGATGAGGGGGTGCCCTTAGCTGGATCCCACAGCCCTTGGGAAAGTGCTGATGTGAGTGGGTAACAACTCCCCAGCTGGCACCATCCTGCCTGTGTGGCTCCTCTGGCTCATCCAGCCTGACCTGCCCAGACCTCTAAAATCCGTGGACCACTCCTGGGGCTGGTTGGGAGAAGGAGAGGAAATTCCCTTGGGAGCATCCTCTCCTCACCCTAATGCCACCAAAAATCCAGGTACCTGAAATACCAGTGTCAATTATCACATCCAGTTGGATCTGGGGGCCCAGGCTGGCATAGATGCCGTGCAGTGGTGCAGGAACGAGCATCAGCAGCTGCAAAACCCCATTCCATGGGAAAACAACCCTTTACCTCCATGTTTGCTTCCCCTGATTCCAGGCAAGGGACAAAGTTGCAGGAGCTGCTAACCTGTGTGTCTCTGCTGTGGCACAGATGATGGGGATTTGGTAGCCAAGGCTCTGGCCTGCCAGAAGGCAGAGCACTCGTTTGCTGGGATGCCCTGCGGAATCATGGACCAGTTCATATCCGTGATGGGCAAGGAAGGCCACGCACTGCTCATCGACTGCAGGTCAGGGTCGAGCGCTGAGCTCACTGTGCTGTGCTCACCTCCTTGAGCAGCTGGGGATGAGCTGGCCCTGTGGCCATGAACCAAGGGCAGGAGTGCAGGGAGAGGTTAACCCTTGAATCCAAGGGTTCAAGGGTTTTGAAGCCCAAAAACCTCGTTATGGGGGCGGGGCACCCTGCACTTTAATTCCTCTTTCTCCTGATTCCTCCTCCTGCAACCTTTCTGCTGCTTGCTTGGGCTACCTTTCCACCGGTCGTTAGGGTCTGTTGTGGAGCTGATAACCGGGAGGGAGCGAAATGCTTGAGTGAAATCCTAAACCACCTGGACTTTGCCTCTGTAGTTCAGGATCTGCCTGCCACGTGGCCTCACTCAGGTGTGTGAGAGCCGGGGTGGGCAGGGGGGTGGGCACATGGCTGAACTCTCCCTGCAGGTCCCTGGAGACCGTCCTTGTCCCCCTGAGCGATGCCAGCCTGGCCGTGCTCATCACCAACTCCCAGGTGCGGCACACGCTGTCGGGCAGCGAGTACCCAACGCGCCGGCGGCAGTGCGAGGAGGCGGCGGCGGCGCTCGGCAAGGCCAGCCTGAGGGATGCCACCCTGGCCGAGCTGGAAGGTGGGGACAGTCCCCCCCTCATCTCTGGCCACTCCTTGGGGCATCAAGAGCTTGGTGCCCCATGGGTTGAGACCAGGGGCAGGTGGGTAGGTGCACATCCTGTGCTGGGAGCGGGCTGCAGGCAGAGAAGCTTTGGCACAGGATGGTTGCAGGATGCACCCCGCAGCATCCTGTGAGGTTTGCTGCAGGGACACAAATGTCTCTGCAGAGGCCAGGAGCCGGCTGGGGGACGAGGTGTTCCGGCGGGCCAGGCACGTCATCGGCGAGATAGCCCGGACAGCGCAGGCAGCACAGGCACTGCAGCACAGGGACTACAGAACGTTCGGGAGGCTGATGGTGGAGAGCCACAACTCCCTCAGGTGAGGATGACCAAGGATGCTGGCAGCCCTGGGCCAGGATCTGCAGCACCCAGCATCGCTGCCATGGCACCAGGACACGAGTTGGAGCTGTCGGTGGTGCAGTGGTTGTGCCCAGGGTGCAGGGCACAGCACGGCTCTCCTCTCTCCAGGGATGACTATGAAGTGAGCTGCCCAGAGCTGGACGAGCTGGTGGCAGCAGCTCTGGAAGTCGATGGGGTTTATGGCAGCAGGATGACCGGGGGAGGCTTTGGAGGCTGCACGGTGACGCTGCTGGAAGCTGGGGCTGCAGGGAGAGCCCAGCAGCACATCCAGGTACGTGGGGGAACAGCCCCAGGAGACTGACTAAAGATCCCAAGGGAACACTTAGGGGCACAGCACAGGGACACTGTTGAACTGTCACTCCTGAGCCCTTTGGGGGCAGTGGAGCCCACCCAGGGCTGTGCAGGGGTAGCCCTGATGGTGCTGAGCTCTTGCAGGCAGTTCAGCGCTGTGCTGGTCACAGAGCCCTGCCCCACGACCTCATTGCTTTAACACAGGTAGTGAAAGGTAGTGCTGGGGGAGCTTCATGAAGGCCAAATCCATCTTCAGAAAAGTGAGCTGAGCTTGGGCACTGGCAATTATAGCCCAGGAGAGATCTCAGTGCATCACCAGTGTTCCCTAACTCAGCACCGTGGTGTGCACAGGGAGCTGGAAATGCCAGCAGAATGGGGGTGTCAGGACATGGGGCCTATGAACAAGGCAGAGCATCATTTTGCTGCTCTGTGAGATCATGGTGCACCTGTAAATAGCTGGGGGAGTGGGACAGGAGGGAAGAGGAAGGTCTGAAATGAGGAGAGAGCAAAAGGACTTTGGCCTCTGCCATGGATGGGAGAGAGGAAACATGACCAGGAGCTACAGTACAGTGAAGAGTGAAGGTAGAGCGAGTGTGGAACTGACCAGCAGGCCCTTTCCCCCCAGCTCTGGCATCAAACCCAGCCTTGACTGCTCCTCTTGTTTTCCAGGAGAAATACAGTGGCACAGCCACCTTCTACCTCACCAAGCCCTCAGATGGTGCAAAGGCCCTGGCCCTGTAGAGGAGAGACCCCCTCACCTGGGACCCTTGGGCTGGCATTGCCTCCCTCCCCAAGGGGATCCATTTGTCCATCTGCATCATTTGCCTAATAAAAACAAAACATTTGCACAGTGCCCATGTTAGCTAAAATCACTTGGGAGTCTTCCTCAGAGGATACTGCTTTAGCTCCAGTTTGCAGTGGTGTAAGGAGCCCTTAGCAGGGCTGTGGAGTCCAGGAGAGCTGCAGTAGCTGGCAGTGGAGGAGCAGCTGGCACTGACATGCGGCAGAAATTCCTGCTTGGGAATCTCCCTCTGGCCCCTGCCCTGCATCTGCTGCAGCTGGAGGGTAGTGAGGGGGAAGGGATTTTTTAGTTTACTTTATTAAAAAACCCAACAATAAACAGGCAGAATATAGAGAAAATATTTATTGAGTGCAAGAGGAAGGCAACTGATCAAAGACCTGCTCTGGATCCAGCTTGGAAAGGCTGAAACAGCACCAGCTCCAACAAGCAGATGAAATTAAAGTCAGGCCTGGGTTAGTGCATGGGGAAGGCCTGATTCCCTGGAGAGCAGCTGAAGGGCCATGCTCTGCTCTTGGAGAACTAGATCATCTTTGGTTAAAATGCTTGGGGAAGTCCATGTTTAGGCTGTTCGCAGTATTTGACCCTGGACCACAAAGCCCAGGAAAAGGGTCACAGAGTCCTTGTGCAGGAAGAGAGAAAATCCCAACCCCAGGCAAGAAGGGAGCAGGGAGGAAGGCAGCCTTGCTCAAGAGAAATAAGTGCTTCTTGAAGGCACAGTAAAACCTCAGGGCTGGTGAAGAATCCCCTCCTTGAGCCAAGTTCAAAACTGACCTAGCTCCATCTGCAGTCATAGAGACTCCTGTGGACATGATTCACACACATCCATCTTTGGCTGAAAGATGTACAGCCCTTTCTCCAGTGAAAAAAGAAGCCTGAAGAGGATAGGGAACTGTTGGTGTGAGCTCTTCTTCAGAGTCCAAAAGAAAAAAGGAAATAAAAAAAGAAATAATAATAAAAATAAAAATAAAATAAAAAAAAAACCCACAAAAAAAAGGACCAAGGTCCATTGTGAGATCAAAGCAGGCTGGTGATGCTGCCAGGGGCCCAGGCAGCTGCTGCTTTGGTTGGAAGGTATAACCAAAGTTAGAGCCTAGCTCTAGCTTGCCTAGTTGTTCCCAGGCTTGCTCTTCCTTTGTGTTTACTGATGGATCACAGGTCCCTTTATGGATGTTGCTGCTGGGCAAAAAGTCTTAAAACACACCCAACATCCTGTGCCCTGAAATCTCACACTGTCCACATCAGCTGTGTAAGGAATCCCAGCACCATTCCCACCTCAGCTGCTGGGGCCATCCCCATCCCTCACCTCCAGGAAGCTCCCAGCCCTTCTGTGCCCAAGTGTTCCAGCTGGAGGATGCTCTGCAGTGAGTGGATCTGGCCCCTTGCAGTCTTCTGGAGTCTCTGGAGCTGAAGGATACAAGGTCCAAGGCAGAGCCCACCAGCCTCATCACAGGGTTCAAGAGGCCTTTGGATCAAGCCCTTAACTCATTTCTTCAGGTATTCACGTTTCCCAGCAGCCACAATGCTAAGTGTAGCCTCCACATTCAGCATAGATCTCCTCCACCTCCATATTTTTATAAAATAATAAAATACATTTATATATATATTTATATATACTATGAAAACTGTACAGTATTGTATGCAAAAAAAAAAAAAAAAAAAGCATCAGGGGCCATCAAGTAATGCAACACAAATGAAAGGTTATTCTTTGCTATCATGGTACCAAATGTCAGCAGCAAAGGTCAGCCACGAACAGGTGCAGTAAGAAAGCACAGGTTACCCCTAAACCCTACCTTGCAGCTCTCATAAAAACCCCCATACTGAACAAAACAACCATCTCCACTGGACAGGTGAGTTGCCAGAGAGCCTGGAGCAAAGATGGAAATGGTGACCCTCTATAAATTGTGATTTGGGCATCTGGGATCCTCTCAAAACCGAGGACCTGACAATAAAATAATTCTGTTCCATTTACCTGGGGAGGCTGAAGCCATGGAAACACCCCAATTTCTGCCCTGAAGGATGAGCTTACACACCCAGCTGTGCCAGGGCTCTGAGTGCGCTGGGCTCCAAAGGAGAGCCTGGAGTGCCACAGAGGGTCTGTCCTGGCAGGAGGAGCTGCCCAGGCACTGCCTGGATGAAGCACCCTTGAGTCATTCCATAGAATCCTGGCACCTGATCCCAAAAGTCCTGCTGGTGCTCGGCCTGCCCTGGCTCAGGCCTCGTAGAACTGCCTCTCCACCTGCTGGGTGAGGGTCCCGCTGGCCATCACGGTGCGGCTCACAAACTCCTGGGTGAGGGTGCTGCTGGAGTTCTCCACGTGCTGGGTGGTCACCAGCATCCCGTCTGCAGGGGGAAAGCACCAGGTATGGGGTCACAGGGAGCAGGGTCTGCTCTGCCCTGTGACTCCAGACAGTTTTCCATCATAGAAAGTGGTATTTAAGGGCCTCTCCAAACCAGGTGATTCAGTGATTTGCTGAGCCAAGGGGATGGATCTCCTAACAGCTCCCAAACTCTCCAAACTGAACCCATGAGCTCAAGTGGGACAACACTGGACAGATATACTGATGTGAATAAAGATGTTTGTCTGGTTTCCTCTGCTCTGAAGAGACCTAACCTTGCAGGAAAAGCTATCATTTGGTCCCTAGTGATAGTGTCGGAATACAGCATTCCCTCCAGGACTGGGCAGCACATGTGGAAATGACTGCAGCTCTCCCTGGGGCAAAGCAGGGACACAGAGTAGGAAAAGGGGCTGACCCTCCTCCCCCGCCTTTGGCACTTGAGGTTG